GTGGGTTGTTGTTCTGAATCATTTTCTTGGGTTTATAGGCAGCCCTTAAAATTGAGTGGGGAGGTGATTCACAAGGTCTCAGGGTATATTATGCAGAGAGATTACTGAAAAACACAACAGGATATTGTCTTTACCTTATGATCCATTGCTCACTGATCACCTGCATAGAACCTTTCCATTAGTAATGGTTATAATGATTATCCTAATTAGCACTTGTTTTCTCATACAGCAAAATAAGAGCTTCCCACTGTAATGTGTTGAACTGTCAACAGATAAAATAAGACAAGTCTCACTTTGTTTCTCTCCAGTGTAAACAGCATAAAAATCACACAACCTTAGAACAGTTTTGGTTGCATGGGATCTCTGAAGCTCATCTGGTCCAACACCATGTTCACTCTCAAGTCTGTGTTGTAAAAGAATCAATCTCTGCCTTCTTCCTTTCCAACACAGTAGCCCTTTGCTGGGCTTACTCTTAATGCCTACTGGGGACTCTAAAACTGGGCACAGCAGTCCCAACACCCTTTCAGAGTTGCTCAAAAGTGGGTTTAATCACTACTTTTTGTTATTCTTTGCACTGTGCACTGGCTAATCCATCGCAGTTCATGGTTCATGATGACTCTTGTGCAACTTCTCATGGAATCATTTACCTTGGAAAAGACCTCTCAGATCATCCCTGCCCATGGTGGGAGGGTTGGAAGTAAATGATCTCTAAGGTTCTTTCCAACCCAAACCATGCTATGATCAACCCCTAATGTATTTTTGTAGAGCTGTTCCCTTGACAATTGGCATCTCTTAATTGTTTGCTTTCAGATCTTTTCTGTCAAATCACAGCTCCAGCTTTTTGAGATTCCTCTGAATGATAGCCTTTTTATCCAGTATATGGACTGCTCCCTGCAGTTTGGTGTCAACCCCAAGCCTGCTGATGATGTGTTCCTCTCCATATAATTACAAACCATCAAACCACCCCACTGTCATTTCCTCTGGCAGAGCCAAGGTGCTGCTTTCCCAGGTGTGGAAAAGCAAAGGGTTGTTCTGAAGGCACAACATGAGGACTCAGGGAGGAGCTGAGTGACTATGAAGAGAGGATATCTGAATTTAAATAGAAAACCAGCAACATTTGATATAAAAGCAGACAATGACAGCTGCTCTGGTCAGCAATTACTGGAGATTGAACATGGACAGAAGCAGTCAGTGCACATGGAAAAGCCTTCTGATCTGGCAGTGTTCCCATCCATCCCATCTCACTCCATATATCTGGAAATGCCAAAACAAATACGTGTTTTAATGTTAGTGCTCATGGTAATCTTTTATACTTTATCCATTATTTGTTAAAAGTATAAATTACAGAAATATCCTTGTCCCTTTCTTTGGCTTTTACATTTTACTGATGTAAAGAAGCCACAGCATGAACAGGAACTTGGCCCAAGACTTTCTAAACACCTATGGAAAAATCAATGGGCAAGATTCCATCTTGGTTATAACAATGTCAGTCTGGAGGCATTGGTAAATAATAATAATAATAATAATAATAATAAACAGCTGAGTAGCCAGCTGAGTTTATTTGCATTGCTGGAGATTAGGATCAAGTGTTACTGCAACTGGATGTGTCAATCATTAGCAGTGAGCATTATACCAGGTGATCCCACTGACTGCAAATTTCAATTTAAGATGCAGTACATCCAAAAATCATTTCAGAGTGTTCCATCTCTTCCAGTATAAGAAGTAACAGGAAATTAAAATGGAGCACGAGCAAACAACCTCCTTTTTGGATGAATTTGCTCTTGAAAAATACACTGCTCTATCTGGTCACTACCTGAGTTTTGTAATACCTGTGACGTTGAATCACCTTGTCCTATCAGGAAACAGGAGAGCTATAAATCAGTGAAGAATTCCAGCCAATTCCACAACTACCTGAAGAAAGACAGAAGAAACTTCTGATCTTCCTGGAAACAGAAGGTAGGATTCGTCTTGATTCGTTGGCTTAAAATATTGTGATTTTTTTCATGTATTAATATACAACCTATTGTCAGAAGACTTCTTGAAAAATTTAGAACAGTCACATAAGAGGATCTCATTCAGTGAAAAATAAGGATTATATAGCCAATAGTGTAACACAAGCTAAAAAAAAAGGTGGAGAAAAAGGATGAGAAATCAAAAATACAAGAAAAGCCACCTATATCAAGAAAACAGCATGTCAGTAAATTATATGTACGTAGAGAAAGGGACAGAGAGACAGTAAAACACATTGAATGGGAAATCCATTCAGCTCAGTAAGTTCTATTGGTTCATGTTTCTATCACCACGTATTTTCAGAGTGGAGAAATTACCACCTTGTTTAATTGACTCCTGAAACTGACTTCTGAAAAGTGGCTGCTAAGTAGCCTTTATGCAATAATGCTGTACAAGTGCAATGACAGAAACTTTATTCTGCTTCAGGTCTTTTTCAAGGATAATAAAAAATATTTTTTTTTTGCAATGGTTATTCAATTAAATGAATAATTTAGGATACACCATTTTTATTTTTTTATTTTAGAAGGAGAAACAGGAAAAACATATTCACATGAGTTTGCCAAACTCATACAAACTAGGGATGCTAAAGCAGCATCTTTCAGTGGCAGATCCTGGTATACAGATGGATTTTCAGGAAAGTCAGTAAGACTTGGCACATGTCCTGATTTATGTTTGATTGAGGGGGAACAGGGGAGGGGGAGAGAGAGACTGATTTTAGGACCAGTGCCTAGAAATTAATGCAGAGCAATTAAATTTACATCTCATAAACTGTAAGCATTTGGTTGAAATCAGTGGGATTGCCAAAAGTATGTTAATATCTTGGAGTGGGAAACCCACTGGGTCTTAAAAAGCATTCCAATGGCATTTTGAAAATTGTATCATGTATTAAATTACCAATTATATTTAATTGTAAGTTAATTCATAGAAAATATTACAGTGAATGAATACTTTGCCCATGTCTCTAAGTTAGCTTCTTCAGCTTGGTTTGCAAAATATAAAGCTTCACAATTTCAGTGAAGAGTTCTTCTTCCTTTAAAATGTGCTTTACGTGCAAAAAAGGTTGTTTTTATTTGCATCTCATCATATTTTGCACTCAAAAACATATTTTTGCTTGTAACTTGAGTACAGCTAAAAATAATTCAAATTCTATTTACTCTCTAGTTAGAAATTAAGTGAAAAGCATTCTTTTTCATGATATTGGGAGTATAACCTTTTGTTGCTAAACACCTAAGTCAGATAAAGTGTAAAGTTTTGTAATGGCTCTGAGAAATAAGCCTTAGAGAAGTTAATAAGAAAAAAAAATCTGTGATTCTAAAGCACTTCAAAGAGGCACAGGTGATGTCAAAATTAAAAGTAAGGGACATAAAGCAATACTAAGAAGAGAGATCAATGACTTATTCTGTTAAGAATTTGTGTGTTTTCCCCTGCATCAACTACATCTTCCCCCAAATACAAGGGCTTGGAATAAGCCACCCTATTTTGAAGGCTGTGAGAGTTGAATTGGGCAGATGTGACCAGCTTTTCCAGTTTTTTTGGCCTCTGAGTTCCAGCTGCCCATAGTCACAGTCCACGGGCTTTGTTGTTTAGCAGAGCTGGAGCAGCATCCCTGCCTAAGGCTGGGCACTGTGGGTCACCCCCAGTGCAAGGTGAGAAGATGTGAGGAGCTGGTGCCTTGCTGTAACACCTGGAAAAGAACAGTTTTTCTTAACCACGTGTTCTCCACAAGTACCTGTGCTCTCCAGAGCACCCTGTGTTTTATATAAACTGGTTGCCTCGAGGTAAAGGGGCTTTGCTGAAAATGAAAGGATCAGCAAAGCCTACTGGCCTCTCCCCAAGAATAATTTAAAACTAAAATCAGCAGCCCCTCAAAACCAAACAAAATAAGCTAATAATATACCTCTGTGGTAACATACTCATAAATTCCCTTGGAGTGGGAGGCTGGGAAAATTGCCAGAACAAGTAAATTCCACTCCAGTCACCTGCTTGCCTGCCAGAGGTAGGTGAGCAGAAACAAGCTGAATGTAACTTCTGTGACTGATTGCAGATACTGAACTTTGCAGTGACCTCCTGGGTCACTGGAGTGGTGCTTGGAGCCTCCCAGGCAAGTGGAGTCTTGGAGTCCAGGGTCTGGTGGATGCTTCTTCAATTAGAATCAGATATTTGTAGAATAACCTGAGTTGGATGGGATCCACAAGGATCATCAAAGTCCTACTCCTGGCCCTGCATAGGAAGTACCAAGAATCACAATGTTAGAGAAGGTTCTAACTTCTGTTGTCATTTCTTATTACTTGTAATATAATCCAGACTTGTCTTTAAACAGATAAAAACAGAAAAAATCTTCCTGAAACAAGTCTTTCCCAGTTCTGCCTCAGCTCATATGCAAGGTTTCACAGTGCTGGTTATCAAGCTTCGAACAGGTTTTGAATCTTTACTCCCACACCTGACCATAGAGATCACATGGACTCAGTGCCTAATTCCCCTTTCTACCCAAGCACTCCAGCCACAGCAGGCAAAGGGGAGCAGGGGAATTTTCAGACTCACCTAGACACAGGAACGAGTTAAAAGCAGCACTCCATCCCTTTCTGCAGTTTGAAAATGAGCAATAGGCTTCCTGCAGGAAGGGCAGCAAAAATACCTGTGAACACCTGTGGAGATATTCCATCAGGGCTACAGCAGGAAGTATGAGATGTAAAAAAGCAGTTGATTCATAGAAATTTGGAAATTAAGAGGGGGAATTAATTTTAATATTTTAGATCTAAAAATGGAGGAGGAAGGAAGGAAGGAAGGAAGGAAGGAAGGAAGGAAGGAAGGAAGGAAGGA